TCTATACCTATTTTTTTGAGAGTTTTTATCAGGAATGGGTGTTGGACTTTGTTGAATGCCTTTTCTGCGTCAATTGAGATGATCATGTGATACTTTTATTTATGTGGTGGATTACATTGATTGATTTTCTAATGTTGAACCATCCTTGCATACCTGGTATGAATCCTCCTTGGTCGTGTTGTATTATTTTTTTGATATGATGCTGAATTCTGTTGGCGAGAATTTTGTTGAGAATTTTTGCATCTATATTCATGAGAGATATTGGTCTGTAATTTTCTTTTTTTGTGGCGTCTTTTCCTGGTTTTGGTATCAGCATTATGCTGGCCTCATAGAATGAATTTGGAAGTGTTGCTTACTTTGAAAAACAGATATTTTGTTTTAAGACAAAATTCTTTTTTGTGTAGATAAATAGAAAGCTTTCATTATCGTGCATACACATCCCCCACCTACACAAATTCTTTCACGTTTCTTCAAAATGACCATGCATATCAATGTAACTTAAAGGGGCATTTGTACATCTTTTTTTAACCTAGTAGCTAATGGCTACTTCAGTTATTAAATAAGAACACAAGTGTAGTAAAATTATGTCATCCAGTTATACAAGATTATTTATTTAATATTCATTTTCTTAAAGCTAAAGATCTGGAAATCACAATTACGTGACACATTAAGTCCTTACAATTGTAGTTTAAGAATTTTCAAATTTAAAATCTGTCAAAAAAAATTACTACAATTCCATTTGTAAAACACAGTTTTATTTTTTGTAATAATAAATGATTTGTGGAAACAGCAACAACCCATAAAACTATATAGAAAATTTAGACACTGTAAATCATGAAAAAGAAGTACCCTAGTCTTGTACAAGCAAGAATATTTTTACATTGTGATAAAATTAGGGAGAAGTACAATATTAGTAACTAATATATTCCAGGAATATTAAGTAAAATTTTTTCCTAATGCAATTTTTAAACCTCTGTGTTCATAAATCAGATTTAAAAGACTAAATTATTTTTAAAAGCTGAATATCTTGCTTTTTTCTTGTCACATGACCATTGGCTTATTTTACAGTTAAAACTTTTTTTCACAGCTATAGTTTCAACAGAAATGAAGAGCCAAAAATGTAAAACATTAGGAAGTTTTGTTGCCCTCCTTTTGAAATTTCTTGAATTCTTTCTTTAAATTTATATGAACTTTTAATATAAACCAATTAGCACAGGCTCTCCTGTGGGTTTTAAGAACCCTTATCATCTGATTCAGGAGTCCCTGGGCAGCACAAATGGGTAAATGCTGGTTACTAACTGAAAGGTGGGTTGTTGGAACCCACTCTGAGGTGCCTCAGACGAAAGGCCTGGTGGTCTGCTTCTGAAGGATCACAGCCTTGAAAACCCTATGGAGTGCAGTTCTCTGCACACATGGGGTTGTCCTAAGTCGGAATTGACTCAACAGCAACTGGTATCACCTGATGCATTCTTTTAAGGTACCTCTCAAATGAAAAATCTTATGTCCAGAGTGCCCGTAAGTGGCCACTTCTAATTCCAAATTGCCATTGGTGAAGTTAGACCATTGAGAAAGATAAGTGCAAGAATGAGTAAATAGAAGTCAGAGTTCTACCAGGAGGTAGCCCAGGTTTATTTGCAGATGATCACGTGAGAGAAACAGGCAAATATTGCTTGTGTGACTCTTTGGTCATTAATCAGTAGCCTCCTGGCAGGTGGAATATAAAGAGAATATTTCTCCCCTACAATAGTGTTTCCATATGCAGTGTTGAAAGGACTGATGCTAACATCTTGGCTTTATAAGCCACACCTGAACTGTGTCATTGGCTCCATGTCACTAGCAGGAATGATAGCTTTTGTAAATTGAAAGCCAGTGACCCCAATTTATACCTCTGTGCACTGGTATATGTTATGCAATTCTAACAATTTACAGGGGGAGGGGTAGGGGAGAAGGAGCCCTGGTGGTGCAAGTGGTTAAGTGCTAAGCTGCTAACCAAAAGGTCAGCGGTTTGAACCCACCAGCTGCTCCATGGGAGAAAGACGTGGCAGTCTGTTTCTGTAAAGATTACAGCCTTGGAAACCCTATGGGGCCGTTCTTTTCTGTCCTATAGGGTCACTATGAGTTGGAATCAACTGTCAGCAAAGGGTTTTTGGTTGAGTAGGGGAGGATGGGCTCTATGTATTTGCTTATTCTAGAAATTTCATTTAAGTGGAATCATATTTGTCCTTTTGGGTCTGGTTTATTTCACTTGGCATAATATTTTCAAGGTTCATTCATGTTGTAGCATGTATCAAAACTTTATTCCTTGTATGTTGTTAGGTGCTGTCGAGTCAGGTCGACTCATAGCGACCTTTGGTACAACAGAATGAAACACTGCCTGGTGCTGCACCATCCTCACAATTGTTACGCTTGAGCCCATTGTGGCAGCCACTGCGTCAGTCAATCTCGTTGAGGGTCTTCCTCTTTTTCGCCGACCCTCTACTTTACCAAGCATGATGTCCTTCTCCAGGGACTGATCCCTACTGATAACATGTCCAAAGTATGTGAGACGTAGTTTTGCCATCCTTACTTCTAAGGAGTATTCCAGTTGTATTTCTTCCAAGACAGGTTTGTTTGTTCTTTTGGCAGTCCACGGTATATTCAATATTCTTCGCCAACACAATTCAAAGGCATCAATTCTTATTCCGTCTTCCTTATTCATCGTCTAGCTTTCGCATGCATATGAGGCCACTGAAAACACCATGGCTTGGGTCAGGTGCACCTTAGTCTCCAAGGTGACATCCTTGCTTTTCAACACTTCTATTGTATGGATGTACCACCTTTTGTTTATTCATTTGTTGATGGACCATGTGGGTTCCACCTTTTTGCTACTGTGAATAATGCTGCTATGAACATTACCATAAAATAACAGAATGCCTATCTTCAATTCTTTAGGTATATACTTAGGAATGGAATTACTGGGTCATATGTTTAACTTTTTGAGGAACCACCCAATTATTCTTTACAGAGGCAGCACCATTTCACGTTCCTACCAGCAATGTACAAGTTTCCAATTTCTCCACATCTTTGTCAACACTTGCTACTTTCCTTTTTTTTAAAAAAAATTATAGCTATCCTAGTAGATGTCAAGTAGTATTTCATTGCAGTTTTGATTTGCATTTCCCTAATGACTAACGATGTATCTTTTCATATGTTTGTTGGCCATTAGGGATACATAGCAACAACAAAACCTCAAATAACAAAGCAGTCAGATAAAGTATTAGATTGAAAACAAGTGACTATGTAGGTATACTTTATTTTCTAGTGTTAACTTTCTCACGGATAGTGTCTCTTTCTGAGAAGGGGAAAGCCCAGGGAGTCAGAAAGAGAATCAGCCTCCCAATCCCCAGTTTACTGAGACTTCTCATCTCCACTGATCCACAGTGATGGGGAGGCCTGTCAGCAGTCATGGAGTGAGATTCTGTTTCTCTGTTCCAGATACATTCCTTTTTCTGAATATACACTAGACCTTTACAGAACTTCAAGCTGTTCTTTACTAATTGTATGAGTGAGAGTACAAAAGTCATATTGGGTCCATAGGTAGGGAGTAGGCATGCAGCCTCTGGTCTAGTTAACTCTTTCCCTGCCTTGCACAGGAGTAGAGAAGGATCTCAGTGCATAAGCCGTCAGATGACAGGATATCTCATGGAGATCTACCTTTCAGCCACAGAACAAAGAAGTTGCAGCCCCTCATTCCTTTCGTGTCTCAAATTCTCTTGCTTGATACACCTACTGGTTGTATACATGTGTTCCTTCTGCTCTGCTTCTCCTTTTGTCTCTGCAGAGGGA